GCTAACATTCGGTCATTTTGTTTCCTCCGCTCATAATAGAATTTTTTCGGCGAATTACACGACTTTTGAGCAGCCCCACTAACAAGTAAACGAGTTTTTTTTATATAGCACGTTCACGAAGCTATGAATCCTACCGATAAATAAAAGAAGCACATGATCCTTTCGTAATACTGTATCCAAAACAGGTGGAAAAATTGGTTCCCTCGATTATCGAAACTTATTAGAATCACAATTAAAATTTACAAAACTTCTGTGCGTGCGATTACCAACAAAGTATCGATCGATTGATTTTTCCCTAATCCAATTTCCAGGCAAATAAATTACCCTAGAATTGAAACCAATCCAACCTACCAGCCTGCTTGACGTGAAAAATGATCAAAGCAAACGGGAAATGAGTTCAGCGCATTTCCAGAATTACGTGAGAAGACGAACGAAACGTATCATATCTTCAAAGAACCGCACCTTCCGCAAATAAAATCGTTCGTCGGGCAAATATTTGAATGCGAAAACAACACAAATACAAGCTGAACAAACTAAGAAGAAAAAAAAAAATGCAGATAGTGTGACACAAGCATTCGTCATCCAGAACAGATGACACGAACGCCACCTAAGTCATTCACACAGACACCCCTTTTGTTCCAACTCGCGGCTCAATTTTTTTTTCTTCCAATTCATTGGCAGAACAATACCAATTAACGTTCTTGGAAACACGTAAGGATGGGTTCGCATGTGGGAGTGGCCGAGGTGATTCGCACAAGCCACGCGGATGCTCATGTTATTCCTGCCCCGGTCCATATTACTAATTACACAACCCCGGAACTGGAAGACGCGGAACATCGACCTCACGCAGAGATATCAATTCGTCTCGCATTATTCATTCAGGTCGACGCAATAAAGAAAATTACATGAAGATATCATTCGAGAACTGGATTAAACTGTGCCCAACATTTTTTTACGCCAAGTACAATATCCCAAGTCCCAATTCAAAAGAGAAAAATTAAAATCAATTCTGGGAATATATTCTTAAAATACGAATAACAGCGCGGAGAAAACGCCGGGACGATGAAATTTCTTCATGCTGCTTGAGAAAAAGGAGGTACAGTATAGCAAACTTCAAGAGAAAATTCGACGCAGGATAAAATAACAAACTAGACATTTTGAAAGGATAATTGGAATTGGGGGATGCCACAAAAACTATAAAAAAAGGAGTCACACGGAAGAAAATATATTGCACAATAAAATCAGAAGCAACAGGGCAGAAGAATTGTCCTCCACATACAGTAAGTACGTTTGAATGCATTTCAGAGCAAGGCCCGGTTTTGGAAAAATATATGTCGTACCACAGATCCTTCGAATGTTTTTTTTCCCGTTTAATTTTCTCCCAACTTTGTTACTACAACTCAACATACTCTCCTGACACAAAATGAACAAGGGAAATTAAATTGTTCGCTTCAGGAAATGATTAAAATAATGAGACAACAAAGGCATTTTCCACCCCCTTTGTGCAGTATTAGACCTATTATTTTATCGAGCTTGTGATAGAAATGACACCTGACCCTTACGATGGGTTACACACAAACGCTTCTCATTCAAGTGCCGTGCGTGTGTCATTGCATCAACAAGCTCGACGAATGCATTCAAGACCACGTGTACTGTATAGCCGATTACAGTCAAATCACAATGTTATGCGATTTTTTTTAATCAATCATAAAGCAAAAAGACTTTCTGTCCGCGTTAAAATCTGTTCTTTCACTTTAACTAGAGAGAATGAAAGGAAACTGTTCGACGAAACAGAAAAGCGTATTGCATTTTCAATTGGTGAAAGCCAGACCTTTTCATGATTTTTCCGAAACGCTTTATTTCCATACTCCTCGAGATCAATTTTAAATTAAAAAATCAAGAACAAGAAAGAAAATTCGAAAATGCGCTGATCGTTCTTTTGACGTTTTAATGACGTTCTATTTTCCAGCAGTCGAGATAGTACCACGTGCCACGGAATTACTCGACATTTCAGCGAACGAACAAAACGCAAAAATCCAGTACTGCAAGTACCATACTTCACTTCTCTGAAAGCAGTACAAATGACGCTTCGGCAAACCTCGCTGTTGGGGAAACGGTATCCGACGAGAGTCCCTATCCACGCGGAAATCGACGGGGAAAACCGACACTGAGGGGGGAAAAGGAGGGATCGGAACCAAAATCCACCGCCCTGAAAGAACCAATGACCCCCAACAGCTTCACACCCAGGGCCAGGGGTTAGCAGGAGGAAAGGCGCAAGGGGTACTCGGATATACGCAGCAAGGTCGAGAGGGGGGTTTTCAATGTCACGGTCAGCCCTCTTTCGTCACTGGGGCAGTAAACCCGGCCTGGGTCGGGGATAAAAAGGACCACAGTACTGCAGAATTTCATGTCAGATAACCTTAGTCACGCTACCGTAAGCTGAGAACGCTAAAAAATAAAGAAAATACGATTTCCCCGAATCGATGCGAGTTTTCAGTCATGACTCATGACGCTCTTCTAGCTATTTTCTTTCATCCTTCACGATTTGTATTACTGCATGCGAAACAGCGGCGTCTCGAAAATCAATGCTCCGATTAACTGTTCCCAACTTTTAATTCGATAAAAGGGGTCTATAGAATTGAATTCAAGACGCTTTCACTCTGGTCGACTCTATTCGCTAATTCATATAAAAATCAGACCAATATTATATCAGTCAAGCAAAAATAAAAATAAAACGCAAAATAATACACGCGCATGCAAATCCAACAAAAATTCGATTTGTGAACCTGAGAGACGCGCTGCTACGTGAGATTTGCTTGAATGTCGAGAAAACATCGTTGGAAAACTTTTCATCGACAACATTTTCCACTTTTCGATGATCCGTGATGTTTAATAATACTTTAAAAAGGGGACCCAGTTCACCCAGACACGACCACGAATAAATGTAGGTTTACAATTTCAGTATGACTCAACACAGGCATTTTTTTAGAATACCGCAAGCATATTTAGCATTTACAAAATTTGAAGCAACACAACCTTTCTCCAGAAACTCAAAAACGTGCGGAATATTCGTAAAAAATGATTTTCAACCATTTTTCTGCCTTCAGGAGCCAAAGCATCCTAATCATTTTTGTGGTAAGAGTGGAGAAATTAGCTGAATTATACTTCACCGTGTCAGAATAAGTGTTCCCTATGCTGAACACTAATGCAAAAGTTTCGAGAAGTGCTACAGACGTCAACCTCAACTCAATAATACAACTCGCGGACGAAGTTCATCCGGAGTTCCTAATTGGCGAATTCGAAAAGGAGAGGAATACAATTACCGTCACTACTATAGATACTTGCAGTAGGGCAACATTTCTTAAAGAGTACGAAGAAAAAAGAGTTGCTGCCAAATCAAATCCAAAAAAATCGAACACAAGAACTCAGGAACGCTGTATCGAAATACCCTAGTTCGTCAACTACCCTCGGTTCATTTCCCACCCGATTCTTCGTCGATACCGTGAAGGCACGACGAGCACACCGGAAATTACAGTCATTAAGTAGACCTTCTGTCAGTCCGTCAAGTCGAATAATAACCGACTAGATATTTTACTAGAGGGGATGAAACAAAAGAACTTCAGGAACAACAATGCCATGGGAACCTCAGGCTAACCAGGCGTAATTGGATATGACAGCGAATATTCATTCACGTGTGGGAACAAGTTCAGGGGTTCCTCCAAAAGAAATAATACCTAGACCACGGATTAGGCATTCTTCCATCAGGGTCCAAATATTAGAAAGCCCTCGTTCGTCCGTTGCCAGCTGATGGGGTGGATCATACGTTCACAAAAAAGACCAGGGGTCCGCTTTAAGAGTGTTAAGAAAAGTTAACAAAGAACTGGTTGATGGAAAGTAGGAGATTCATTAAAATTAATTTTAAAAAAAATTGCGGAGACTACTGTAGAGCCTCGACATAAATTGACAAAAGCAAAGAAACGACAGTAATGAGGATACCAACCCTGTTCTTACGCCTGAAATCCAAACGATCTACAGAAAAACGTATAATCGTCTTGCAATCAGCGAAGAAAAAATTCCTGAGCGTGAGACAGTAACTCAAACGAACATTTACAGGAAATTTCGCCGATTTTCGGGGTCAACGCACATCTGTACAAATAGAAAAAGCAACTCAATGGGATGCGTTTTCACGCTCTGGCATGGGTCCAAATAAATTACTCGAAGTCGAATGCCAACATTAACGCTTCATTCTAAAGCATGAGTATCTGGCCAGTCTTGATAACCTGTCGCTGATTATAGTTCACGCATTGAAGGCAAGAGCCACATTTATTGCGTAACGGTCGCTTTTTTTTCGAAAAAATTTACAAATTACTTTTTTCTTTTGCGTGAAATGCCCAATCAATATCGAAGTGCATCCGATAATCGAACGCAGTCAGACAATTATCGCGTCAACATTGCACAGTCTTCAACTACCGTATCCACGCAGGTGAAGACAACACTTTTTTTAAATCAAGAAAAAACCCCTGAGAAACAACAATGCGGCCCAGCCCTACACTCCAGAAATTAAGTATAGGCCAAATCGCAGTCTCAGCATACTCGAAAAAGTCAAAATATTGCGATAAGAACATATGATATACACTGGTTCACTTCCCACTCAGAAAATGTGAGGTAGATTTTTGGTGCGTTTCATGCCATTGGTGGCTGCGAATTCATTTCAAAGTATTTTTTAATTTTTTCGGCCTTTTGAGTCCTAGATTGGGACTGAGTCTAGGCAAAATTTCTCATTTTTGAGGCTTATGCAGTTGTTTTTATCTGGAAATGGATTCTTCAAACCAGTGTCCGTAATTTTAGAATGAAAAACTCTTCAAGTCATGTTGGGGGTCTTATAAACACGCGTGCGGTATTTGATGCATAGAAAAAGAATGAAATAAATACGGTTGAGTGGGTTACGGAAAGACGCCTCGTTGGTCCCACGACGGTGGTCGGAGGAGTCGTAGTGGTAGTTACCGACGTCGTCGTGGTGACCCGTTGCTCCTAACTGAGAGTCGTGCCGCAAGGCTTGCTGGCTGTCTGGAGGCAATCCCACCCCTGCACTTTTTACGAACGGGACTCGGCACCGGCGACGGGGTTCCTGCAGAGTGGACAGAGCACACGCTGCCATTCTCTTGCAGCTTCTTGGCCAGCGAACGGCTGTGGATGCCGACGATCGTCGATCGGACCGACGAAACTGCAGAGCAAAAACGAGAGGAGGAAAAAAAAAAACGCGCGTCTTTAAAAGTAAATCAATTCATCAGGGATGACTAGATACAGTTGAACCTCGATGCACGAAACAAATCAACGTTTACTGTCCTCACATGCTGGTAACCTCAACATTTCTCGGCCACATTCCTCACATGACCAGTGTCATGAGAGTCCCTCTTTAGTAGCACGAAATCGGGTGAAGTAAAAAAATATTTAAACGCTTTTATAAGAGGACGTTCTTCAAGAGAAACTGTAGACTTTAAAACAAAGTGAGGCATTTTTTTCTGAAAAAAGAACATGATCGTCTTATGATTTTTTTTCGGATGCGTTCGTTGCATGATACTCCAATTTGACTGGAAAATTCGACGTGAAATGATTCACAGTATGTCGAAACCGTGTAACGCCTGTCCTTAAAACAATCTTCTGTCCATGAGGTGGTGGGACAAACAATATCACACCTTAAAAATCGTAAAATAGGGCGACAAAAGGCATTCAACAGCCCTAGTTTTGGAGATCCTTCTAAAAATTAAGTAGAACGCTTATTTGAAGATAAAGATGCTCGAGTCTGATGGATATCAGGAAAGCCACGGGGTGAAAGCTATTCACAACCCTCGTTTTACCTTCAGGAACAAAAAAATCGTGTTTCACGCTCGGAAATGTAAATCGTGATCGACAGCGAGAATAGGGAAAATCGTGAGTAAAGCCGTCCACTAAAAAAAATATATAATTATAACATTTAGAAAAAAAAGGCCATGGGTCGACGAGCGCATCACGTTAATCTAGCCCCCAAGTGTTGAAGTAAAAGCCCTGGCACGAATATCCCAAAGCGCAGATGGCTTGCCATACCTTAATAGCTCTCGCGCTTTTCACGAAGCCACGCATCATTACGTTCTTCTGCAGATAATGGGTTCTTCGAAGCGTCATTTACCAAAATTTGACACAGTTGACTCTGAATTACGGGATTCACATGCAGCGACTCGCGATCAATTTCTTTTTTTTTTATTTCTTTGTCGTTGCCCTTGTTAGGTCTTCTGTTCCAAGTTGTAACGGGACCAACAGCGGGGCGCGAAAAATAATTTGAGAACGAGAACAACGGCCAAATAAATTCCGGAAGTCGGTCAGCAGTAATATACATGCGATGCGAAGGGAAAGAAAAACAATTAGAAAAATGCTGAAAGGTGAAAGTGACGAAGACAGCAAACGGGTAAGAGGATCCTCGAGGATTAATGCGTAGTCATTAATTCAAGTAGGGCATTTTCGCAAGTGGACACAACATTCTTTCGTACTTGCATCTGGAAGTCCGTCCTGTTTTAGTTGCTCCGAAACGATTTCGCTTGCCTCGTGACAACAACAAAGAACGACACGCAAGAAAGTTACTCTCGAAATCTCAAGGGACTTGGTTACTCCTACGTCCGCGTCCAACCTCCGGAAAACTCTTTTTTGTTTACGAGGGTTGGTTCAAAAGTTATGACTCATGCTTCTCTCGCTGAAGTCTTCTTTGATGGGTAAAAATCTACACAATTCTTCAATATTAGAATGAAACGGAGAAAAGACTGTAGTGAAAGCGCATCTTACCACTGTAATGGTACTGTATAACAATAGGTAATTCTGCTTGGTTTATGAGTTTTCAGACGGTTTCAGGTTACGCCAAATACAGTCAACTCATGATTTAGTGCCTTCGATGTAATGCCACACCCTCATAGCGCCAAAAATGTCCCTGGCACAAATCTCTATCCATTAAGGGGAAACCAAAATACCTTTCATGTTGAAAAATGGGACAAAATCCAAGGAATGAAGGCATTTTTCTGAAGATATCCTCGGCTTATAACTGAGAATCACATCCTCATGCTGACAAAAACCCTGAAGATAATTTTGAACATTATATTCTTGAATTTAAATTTGTTAAAAACATATTTGTGCATGAAACATCCCTTGATTGAAAATATAAAAAAGTGGATGAGTTCCCGGAAACATTCGTGATTCCTTCACGGTGGCACCCGGTATAAAACTGAAATGCACGCAAAATCTTAAGCCAACAATAGAAACCATCAACTGAACATTCCTCTCTTACAATGCCCTCAATTTAGTGCCAGGACAAATGTTGCCACGAAATCGAGGTTTAACTGTACTGTATCCTTAAAAATCGAAGACAAATTCCTGACAGTGACCATGTTCCATACAGCATCTGAAACCATGTTTCCATGGAAAATGTTCTGATCACAGTGATTCTTGCGATCACGATTTAAGATCCGAAGATTGCTCGATTATGCCGAAAAAATCAGTAAAAAAAAGTTGAACAAATCAGTAAAGTAATGGGGGGAAAATCCTCAAAATTTTTGAACAGGCTGGCTTCAAGTTTCGTTATCAATAAACCCATCTTGGGTGAAGAATTCAAACTCGAAAACCCAGCTACTCGAGGAACTTAATTTCATTATCTCCACACACAATTTAGGAAACATCCCCTTGTGCGTCCAGGAGGTTTTCGGTGGCACGAAAAAGAATAAACCGGAAAGTTGTTGACCGATTTCTTTCTTCCGTCTTCCTCACTCCAGCTTTATTGCTAGCACGTTTGTTCTCACCATTAGACGGCGCGGGAGACATTATGCGGGACGAATGACCGGACGAGGGCTGGGACGCCTCGCGCGTACCGCCACTGCCGGGACTCAGAGTAGCCTGGCGCTGGAAATCCGCCGCCAGGTCGCCCTCTTTACTCCCGCTGCAACTCGACGTCGCCAGTGACGAATGCGACGTCGTCTTGCTCTCCCTGAAACATGAAGAAAAAGGCGGAACCAGCGTCAAAAATGTGTTCACGCGACGTTATATTATATAATCTGAGGTAAGAGTGAGGGGGGGGGGGGGTGTAATTTAAAAATTTGTGTGACGTTCACTTTTTTCTTTCTCGTCAACTGAAATGGCGATTTCGACGCTCAGGCTTGAGTTGAAATGGAGATGACCAAAGATAATCGAAAAAATTGAAGCATCCCAAGATGGATCGCAATTTCCTGAATTGCAAAAAAACAAAAAACAAAAAACTGCAAAACGGATGCTGCAATGCACACGTGAAAAATATAGTTGACAATTTTGGTCAATACCTTGAAATGAAATACTTCGGTAACCGAAATTCCCAGTTCTCGTCAAAAAAAACATAGACGGGTTAGAAAGAAAACTTGGGAGGAGACCTCTTCATTTTTCACAAATTATTCGAACAACTTTTTTATACAACCTCGTCTATGGAAAATTTCAAAATCCAGTGATGTATACATAAAACTTTAAACATCCGTTTTCAGATCCAAGAAATCTTCCGGAGTCATTCGAAATAGCTCTCGAACTGCTTCTGGATCCATTAAACATTCATATTCGGGAAGGTGAACCTTGACCTCTTATGGCAAGTTGCATTTCAAATCTTGCGCATTTTCTCGACTTATAATTGCGTCAGCAAAAAAATTAATTGCGCAATCAGGAAATCATGAAATATTACTCAGTAAAAATTACCGATATCATCACCCATCCAGAATGATAAAGAAAGAAATCGCAAGATTTGCTGAACTTATGCACCAACTCACGTAATTTATAAAGTTTATGTTATTATCCACTCAACGGGAACATTCCGCGGAAAAATTCATGGATTGGGATTTGTATGCGCGAAATTATAAAAAAAATGTTAGCAAAGGAATCAAAAATAATTGCTCGCATTGTCTAAATCGAGTCACAGGGTCATTCTCAGTGTTTATTTTCTTCGCAACATCATTTGTATACGCGACGAACTAACCACGCATATCGGTATCATTTCCAAGGGCGAAAACATGAAATAAAAAAAGCAAACGAAAAGTCAACACATTGAGTTCGGAATAATAACGATCTACCAACATGAAGCATCGTCTGGTTTGCAAAAGAATGAATAAACATCCTATAATTTTCTCGCAAATCCTGTTCGAAGCCGGAACTGCATCGAACAGTTCAGTAATCCCCGTCAACGACATGCGGCTATTTGTCTCCAATGAATCAAATTACTGTATACATCAAGACACGTTCATTCGCGTGTCTAAAATGCAAAATACAGTACGACAGATTTAAATGGCCACAGCGACACAAATCACGTTTCGACACCGTAAAGATGTCCCCTAATGATCAAAGCGCCCTTGGAAGACAAGACAATCCAGATAAGATTCTTGTTACACAATAGAAATCGCGAGGCATGAATTTCTGGCATCCGCGGAAACGACGGGGAAAATATTTCAAAACCAACAAAAAAAAGAGACAAAAGAATCGCATCGAGAGATCAATTACATGCGCCACGTCGCATTTTACCCTCGCTATCGTCACACAATCTACAACTACACCGGGGAGGCCAATGCGGAAGCAGGCCGATCTCCCCAACGACATTCCTGGACCCCGTAAAAGTTAATCGATGCCTTCTGCGTCTCGCATTGCATTGATCCGTAAACAACTGGAGTCGGATCCGAGTGCCGCTCATCCATCATCCGGACCGTAATGCAGACCACGATATGTAAAACTAATCAAGACCCCCCTCGATTCAACGCGTCGAAGCATGAAAAAGGATCGACGAGTCGACCCTTTCTTTTTTTCCGGAACAGTATATGGCACGACAACGTCAGCGTCGCTTCGTACGTGTGTCAGAACAGAGAAAATTGCGGCAGCTCGCGCATTCTTGATTTGCCGGATTTTTAGTCCGAGTGAATCTCGACGCTCGTGTAACATAAGAATAAAAAACATTGAGAACATTCTGCATTTCCAAATGGTCAAATGTCCGAATTTTTCGTTCTTTTTTATTTTTATAAATAACGGCTTTCGTAACCAGGAGAACTGGGAACATTTTCAACCGCAAGCACATTTCCAAAGAGCGATCGCGAGAAGATCATTCCGATGATGGAAGTTTTATCGACATTACGAAAATGCGGCATGATGAAAAAAATGCGAAGGTCGGCTCAAAAGTGTTGTCAATATTGAGCTTTCCATAATGGACATATGATTTGTAAATGCGTACAGAACATTTTATCATTTTCTGATCATTTTTCCAGTTTTTGGTCGCTCAGGCTGAAGTGAGGTTACCCGCCAACTTTCATGCTAATTTTTACAAGACTAAAAGGCATTCCAAGTGTAACCAAATATTTCAAATACTGCTAATTGAAATATTGTCGGATAAAATGTTCTGGATTCGACAACCCTTGTCCAACTGTTCAAACCTTAATGATTAAATTATCAGTTATTCGGAATTGCCTTGAATTTAGAATTTACACGAGTAAATTTTAAAAAATCTGTCCTGGGATTCATGAAAATCCTTCCTGTGCTTGTTTTCCTTCTTTTGTTTTGACCTCACAGTGGTTCGGACTCAAAAAGTTGGGTAATTCAAAATCCTTCACGATGCATTAACTAGAATCCCTCGCACACAAATATTTTGGCATAATGCGTTAAAATTGCGAACGGAGCACGATTAAATACTGTAATCACATGAAACATGTCGGTATTTCAATAATCACACACGGCTCGTTTCATGCGTGTGTTTCACAGAACACAATAAATTGCGATTTTAAAATGCAGTAATTGAAACATTTGATTTGTTCGCGAATAATTTCCGACACGCTAACGATATTAAAAAAAATGCACCTACTACATAAAATACTATCCCCCATTGAATTATCCCTATTTAAGAAGTTTGAGGCGAAGAAAATCGTTAGTTGAGCCCAAAACGAGACAACGATTTTTCTGTACATTTCAAGGCTAAAAATGCATTCGAAATGAGCATAGATTTCAATAGTGAAATGAAAACGATTCAACTACTGACTCCTTTTCCATATTAAAAAAAAAGCTATTTTCGTAATTGCCCTGAGATCTTGTTTTTGTTTTCTTCATCCACTTAGCATTCAAACGGCAGGGGTTGGGCAAAATTTATACCCAACTGAATCGCAGGAAATATTTTTCTCAAGTTGAGATTAAAAATTTTCATTGACAACAAAGTGACAGAAATATGCCGTCATCAATTTTTCCCTCCATCTCAAAACGAATGCCTGCGAATCACGAAAAATTAAAAGGAGATCCGAGGTCACCTCATATTTTCCCCCCACGCATGGAAACAGCGTCTACAAACGGATCTCACACCTAGTTCTCAATCAGAATTCATTCGAAAGGGAAAATTACGACCGACACCGGGTACTCCGGGACGAAGTGGCGGCGACGACCTTGGCGGAAAAATGTGGAAGTTACCACTGAATTACGATATCGACGTCGCCGCGAAATGTGTGAAAATCTTGGCACGTCCACAACTCGGGTAGATTAAAGAGGCGCGATGCGGCTTCACGAGGGATGATCCATAAGTTCTTCAACTCAAGAGCTTCAAGTCCTCCACAACCTGCCATCACCAGCAATGATCGACATTCTTCTTGTAGAGTGTTACCCCCAATAACAGACGCATTTTGAATTTAGGGCAATTCGGAATTACGGATCATAAAATCGTCAAGGTAAGATCACTTATATTGGAAAATGGTCGCAGGATCCAGGACGTTTTATCCGGCATTATTTTAAATCAGAGTACTTGAAATATTTTGTGTTGACTCGAAAAATGGGATTCGCACTACGATTTTTTTCATTTCAGATTGGTCATTCTGCTTGGGATAATTGAATAAAGGAAAACTGATTGCACTGGTAAAATATATGTTGCTGTCGGAAAAATATCTGTCAGCATTATATTGAAGTGGATGTGATTTTTTGTATATTTTTGATTGAACTGAGCATCGTTTGCCTCAGTTCGGAGCGTTTCAATAAATGTTCTATAATATTTCACTTGGAATATGCTTTCATTTCTCAATTTATTCAATATCATCCTCAATTTCCGCAGTAAAATTCCAAGGTATCAGAACAGTTTTCAAAAAAAAAGTGTCGCTTTCCCGACCTCAAAAGACGTTAGAAAGCTTCGAGTTTTTTTTCTGGCAGTCTAATACTGAAAGTCATGGGCGAAGGCATGAGATCCGCATCGTTCCTTTTTTTTTAAATTAACATAAGTTGATGCATATAGAACCAACACCGCGCGTTTTCCGGGATAAGGAGATACTGTAATGTGATTGAAAAACCTATTTCATAATCTGTTGGTTTTTTCCAATTAGCATCTGAAAACTTACAGACCATCCCTCATGCATAGGAAACTCTGCAATGGTCACGTGCAGCGTGGGTGTGTTTTCTGGTGATCTAGAGCCTGTGAACCGCCAAGGGATAACAAGTGATGCGACGTCGTCGCAGCGGGGTGTGAATAAACAACAAGGGCGCTATTGAAATGAAGGTCACCCATACATCCAATGCGGACATGCTGCTCACATGGGCTGAGCTGAAACACTCCTTTTAAAATGATGAATAAATGAAGCAAATTAGTGATTTGTAAATTATGTCGAATAAATCGACGCAGGGATCGCGAGTGATAAATAAATCATATTTTTCATCACTTGGATTGCTTATTCTTTCGCAGCAGAAATCATTGCTTTCGTTTGAATAATTCCATAATTTCCGATGAACGAGTTGAACGCTTGTGCAAGCCATCCCGATGTTTGCACAAGGCAAAAACTGCGACCAAATATTTTCCTTCACGTTTATTCGGTTTTTACGAGTGATGGAGATATGATCCAGAAAAGAAACAGGAATTTTTAGACAGGAATGCTTACTAAAAACGATTCAACTCTTCAACGTTGAACATAAAATGTAAATCAATTGAATCATACATCAACAGTTGTAAATTTTATTACTTTCGCAGTAATTTCTATGCATACTAATTCGAGAACATGAAAGTATACCATGAAAATATGACCGCTAAATAAGTTCAACGACGCATCAACACGTTTTCTCATGAACAACACCGAGGAAACTTGACATTTATCAATTCAATCAAGTCTTCAAATTCAACACGCCTTCCGCGAGGTACCAAATTAAAATCAAAGTACTAGGAGAACTCCAGATTAGCATAACGCCACGAAGAAGCACCACACCCTGATAACGCACACTGTAGTATCATTAAGAAAATTACATTACAATAAACACGAAACACAGGGGATGCTTTTCGGAGTAGAATACAGAACGAGATGAATAGTGAGAAATTTACATGGAAAATAAATCCTAGAGTCATTCCTTGAATGAAACCCAAACGAATCGATCAAAAAGGCCCGATGGAACAAATATGCTCACAACCAATACAGAGAAAAGAAGAAAAAAAAACTTTCTAACAAAATAGGCATGAACCTTCGAATTTTGCGACTACAGTATCACAGAAAGAATGTTCGAGTCTTTTCTTTAAGTCTGTGAATGAAAGTCTTTCCAATTTTTTTTTCAGTCTTGTCCTCACTTTTAATGAAAGTAAATACTGCGCAGCATTACTCAAATAATTCCCAACAGCAAGTATTTGGGTTGCTTCAACTCAAATACAATTCTGGCAACAACAAAAATAAGCAGGAAGCAATTGAACATTTTTACCTGAACAAATCTTCGTCTTTCATCACGAAGCAAAGCAGAATTGCAGACTCTTCGAGCAATGAACAAAATACACACAACAGTAGTAAAAATGACTTTAAAAAAACAAGAGAATTGTTTCAGAAGAAAACGACTTCGTGGAAGTTTCCAAATGTAACGACCCTTTTCAAGCAACGCCACGTAATCCCCATCTCAGCCCCGAAACGGCGCGTAAATAATTGCAAAGGAAGTAAAGCTTTCTTCAACAGTCGAACCCCTCCAACAAGAATGAGGAAGTCTACAGAACCGAGAAATGTGGGTACGTATCACGCCAAACTAAAAAAGAAATCGATTCAACTTCAGAAACCGGAGACAAACTCACGGTCATAAAAGGTATTTTTTTTAAATTTCTCAGGCGCGTTTCGAGAGGCAAAGGGCAATGCTATTTCCGCAAATCATTCATGCTCTTTTTGAATTCTTGCGTTCCGAAATGAAATGACGGAAAAGGCAAATCTACTCAACCTGTATCGTGGTACTTGATCGAATACAAGACGAGTCCATACTTTTCGTGCTTCTAATACTAATAAAAAATCGTTTGATTTTGAAAATATACTCCGGGCTGGCTCATAGACTTCGCTATTCATATCACTGTTTGAAAAATTAATGCAGCTCTTTCTTCGTACCACATCGCATTCAAGTTTTAATTGTTTTTTTTTTTCATAATCAAAAAGGCCGCTGATTATACGCACGCTTCAGTTATCCGCCTGAGATCCTCAAAGACTTTCAACAAAAATCAGGGTTCCAACACCTACGCCCTCAGGATAGAAAAGTTGACAAAGATTAGTTCAATTGACTTTCAGACTTAATTTTTTATTCAATATATTGCGTCAATCAGAAGCAATCATACAATTCTCCGAAGAGCCTAATGCGCCATCCAATTCGCGATATCATCTTCTTGGCACCATCGTATACAAGACGTGCCCAGATTTCGTACTTTGAAAATTTTTTGTCGAAAATTGCTCGTGACTTTGGAGCG